TCTATAATTTTTATTAATTTGTTGATTTTTTTTTAATATTGGCAAAAAATTTATTATAATAATCTTACTTATGCTTTTTTATAAATTCTGAGGCCAGCTTTCGAAGTTCATGTCTTAATGCTGCATTATAATCTTGATAACACCCAAAAACCCATATCTGCAATGCAGCACATTCTGACACACCAGCATGTTGAATATCTGAAAACAAGGATCTCATTAGTGCATCAATAATTTGCTTGTTTACCACTCGTGTATAAAAAAAAAGACATTTCAAATGCATCTGGAGCATTCCGAGATCCTATTTAAAAGGAAGTAAATAACTGTGTTATTAATATTAATTAAATAGTATATGATTGCCACAAAGCTAAAACATACAAATATTATAAGATTTGCATATTTTAGCTTTGTGACAATCATATCAAAATTGGGTTTTGGAATTGCTGCCACTTGCAGAACCTTAATCAAAACTTACCCTTTCTGGAAGCATACTAAACTTATCAAATTTTTCCTATGTATTACAGATTCTTGACCATTTGCATTTATTATGCTTAGTGCTAAATTGATAAGAGCTGGATGTTGCACTAAGTACAAACAGACTTCAAGATCACTTTTAAATGGACCGATTAAGGAAAACGAAGAGACATTAATTGTGTTTGATGTAGTTGATGCTAATAACCATTGATTAACAGTATTTCCAAATAAATAGTTTCTAGTTAAAGAAGAAGAAGTGACGTTGGGTGTTGGGGATAGTTGGCTATAAACACTCTCAGATGAATGCCTTTCAGCTAAGGGAGACTGGCTAATTTTAAATGTTAGAAAGCATTGGTCATAAAAATTTTTAGGTGAGGGGCTTCTAATTGAAAGTGATAATGCATTTGATGCTTGTTCACTTTGTGGTTGGATATTTTTAAATATACGAAAACGTGAATGTGAGCCACCCACAGCCTGGGTTATATCTAAATTATTATACAAATTTAATATTCTCTGAATATTATAAATAACAATGATAAGACTATATACCATTGTCACTATCCGTCAAACAAGGTTCTTCATTTTCTTTTTTTTTCTTCACGTTAGTACGATTCGAAATTTTTTTTCTTTTATTTTCTGTAATTTCAACATTCGTGACTTGTGAATCATCTTCAAATAAATTATTATTTTTTT